ACTTGTGGACGGGGAGTGATCCATCTGGCTCTGACTGCTGACTTGTGGACGGGGAGTGATCCATCTGGCTCTGACTGCCGACTTGTGGACGGGGAGTGATCCATCTGGCTCTGAGTGCTGACTTGTGGACGGGGAGTGATCCATCTGGCTCTGAGTGCTGACTTGTGGACGGGGAGTGATCCATCTGGCTCTGAGTGCTGACTTGTGGACGGGGAGTGATCCATCTGGCTCTGAGTGCTGACTTGTGGATGGGGAGTGGCACATACAGCATCATGCCCGCTCCACACGAGCACACTCACGGAAATGAATGAGACATAGTCCAGCCCCAACGTCCCCCCTGCCACCAGCCCCCCTCCTCCCGCCACCACACCCCTGCCACCAGCCCACCTCACCCCCACCCCTGTCCCCCAGGAAGTTCGGTGGCAGCGTGATGGCACGTGGCTATGGCCACCACCACACCCCTGCCACCAGCTCGTGGTTGAGCCGTTCGTCCTCATTATTATTATTATTATAATGAGGCTCGTTATTATTATCTTATTATTATTATTAACAAAATGTCACTTAATGAAAAATTAATGCATCATTGGTCATCACAAAATTGTTCATAGAATGTCATTGATAGAATTCTGCACCAGGCAACATAGAATGAAAATTAATTAACCTAAACAATGATTTATTCCTCCTAAAAAATGATGGTTTCACGAAAATAATCCTTTCTGTTTCAGGTGTGTTTTTACAATCTTCTTTTGTTATAATGGATTCACTTAACACAATTAAAATGGTGCTAAATTACAAGCCCAGTCCTGCAAGTTTATAGATACAGAAGAAATGCTATATGGCTGCTGGGATGAAGCCTGCAGTACACAAGGTTGTTGTCAATGCTCAATGGCGTGTCCTTGGATAATGTAATATAACATCAATAATACAGTGATGCATGGACATCGTAATATCATATCAATAAAGACAAAACAGGTACAATTCACAGAAAATTTCATTTATTCTATATCTACATTATCTACACAGGATGAGTTGGACTTCAGAGTGCTGTTAGTAATAGACAAGTACACTCTACATGCTTCAAACGTTTAAAATTGAGGTTTATTTGAAGTGTCTTGAATTACCCCATTCCCATGGATAATTTAGGACACTTTATTTTGCAAAAAATTTGGGCACCTTAAGAATAGCAAATGGAATTTTTCAGAGATGCCATGCAATAGCCCTCGCAAAGACTTTTAAAATGAGCTCAAAATTGTCAATGAAATGTTTCTTGGTTAGAAGTTATTGACAAAAAATGTTCAAAATTGTCCCCTATTACCCTGTTTGACTATCAATTTTTAGCATTTTTTCAGGGAATTTTTAGAGCTAGTAGATGTATAATTTCTTAACTTCCTTTATGCTACATAGATAGGGAGAATGTTTAAGTTTTGCAATATTTTAATTTGTTTCACTGCTATACGGTAACATTTTTACACCATGATGGAGGACTGTCTTGATTTACCACACCAGTTCCTGTTTGCTGCTATTATCTTATGTTTGTTTTAAAGTAAACCACACTTTCCTAACCAAAAAGTTCTTTGAAAGGAAACTCAAAAGTATTAAAAGTCCCTTGAACAGCTTTCATTCTGATTTTATGATAATCCATTCTAATATTTTTCTTCAACAGATTCAATATGGAGCAAGATTATCATTATGATAGTGATGGTGGAAATGAGTCAAGTGATGTTGATGTGGGACTTGATTTTGGTGGTGATGGTGAAGAAAGAATTGGCCCTGCTAACCGTTACATCAGAGACAATGAGGACCTGGCTTATGAAATTCTCTCAACTGAAGATGTTTCAGAACACATGCTTGAGTTCATCAAAGAATTCAACAGTGTTGTCAAGGTCAGATCTCATTAAGGCTCTAAGATCCATGGTATCATTAATATACATACATGATAATTGGTATGTATATAAATATATGGGTAATATATAAGTATATAATGTTTGGTATATAAGTGCATGCCAGTCTCAGATCATACTGGAGCAACATCCAAGTTCATTTGTTAAATAATCATTTGAGGCATCAATTACTATTTAGATATTTATTTTCATATATTTATCTCTGTATTAACTGAAAAAATTCATATAAGGAATTTAATTGTAAAATGTCGTTCAATAATCTTGCAATTTAAGACAAATAACGTTGACTTCATTCTATTTCATGTTTTTCTAGTTCATGTTCTTCAAGAACAAGTTTTATTCATGTTGTGTTACCATTCTGTGTCAACAATGCTCACCATTCTCAATTGTCATGCTTGAAATCAACACTTTGAGATGTATATTCCATAATGTTTCCCATTTTGTATGGCCATTTATGACATACGTATACATATTGAATGTAGTGAGTTTCGCATTTATTGAATGAAATTTTTTTCATTATAATCACTATCTACACTTCCAATTTGAATGTAGTACTTAGATGTAAAATATTTTGAATTTTTTCATATCCTATCTGTAGGTAATCAAATTATCAACATTTCATTTGATTGGTTACTTGCCTGCTTTAGTTGATTGTTGAAAAAATTGCCCTAAACTTCTTAGTCAAACAATTATGTACCTATACATATACATGAAATTTTAATTAGGTCCCTGTCCTGATATCTAACACTGCAGCACATCTGTTGCCAGGAATTAATTAGATTTATTAATTTTTCCTACCCAGGTATAATAATAAAACAATATATAATTTCTTGTATTGCAGATCCCCCACACAACAGCTCGGCTGCTGCTCAATCACTTCAGATGGGACAAGGAGAAGCTCATGGAGCGCTTCTTTGACAGCAACCAGGAGAAGCTTTTTGAAGAAGCACAGATTGCCAGTCCATACAAAAAGAAAGAAGTGGTAAGCTTTTTAAATAAATGGTTCTTATATACATTTAGAGGAGATTATATTATTATTAATGGAGATTATCTTGTTACACTGCTAAGTAAGCACAAATTGCAAGTTCATACAAAATGGAAAAAGTAGTAAGCTTGTTAATTAAATGGTATGTTTTTAATGTAGATTATCTCAAGTGAATTTTTTCTATGAAATGAACTTGGATTTAGAACCTCTACCTATTCCTTTGAATTAAAATGATTTAGCACCTATATATGTAGTATTTAACTTTCTATTCATACATCTGGATCCAAGGATTTTTACTACCAATGCCAGCAAAAAATAATATTTGAATTGTTTAGCAGCAAATTAGCAATAAAACTTATTCCTTGGTCTTCACTGGTCTCATTACAATTTTGAAAGGCAACATAAATGTACATCAAGATGCCATAGAATTACCCTGTGAACACGTCTTTAATTTGCAGCCTGCCATGCAGTCCAGTTCAGGCATGGAGGAATGTGCTATTTGCTGCCTCAAGATGCCATCTAAGGTGTGTTCTTATTGATATGTAACATTCATTTTGATATGTAACATTCTTGAGCAGCAACCCATTTGTCATCCATTGACTTGAATGAGTAGCCATCCATTTTGGATGGCAAACTTTGTTAACTCCAGATTTTGATGGCCTTTCCATCTACAAATACTGTTTATACTCAACAAGATATCAGCCTTCCAATGTCTTGATGATGCAAGTTTTATATTAATAATTACATCTATTCCCAGAAGGATTATTTTACTGTTTATTTTATTTAATCCTGCAGATGACATTGTATGTTCTGATGGAACGAGTACACTAGTACCAAGCTTGTATGTATTTTATTGTTAGAAAATTTCAAACCTCACTGGTTCATGTTTTTTGCTGTACAATTGTAATATTGTAATCCCTGTTTTTGCTGTACCATTTTTGTCTTAATCATGCAATTGCCACCACTATTGTATGTTTTGCTAGTGTGAGTACATTATTATGAAGGTTATAGATTTTTTATTGTTGGTAAAAAACAATATGCTTAATATTGTTTTAATGGTACAGATGATGTCTGGGCTGGAGTGCGGCCACCGCTATTGTTTGTCGTGCTGGAGCGAGTACATTAGTACGAAGGTAGTAGACGAGGGCACGGGCCAGTGCATTACATGTGCGGGGTACAACTGTCCTGTGGTCGTGGAGGACAGTCAGGTTATGAGCCTCCTGAAGGACCCTAAAGTCAAGCTTATATACCAGCACAGAATATCCCAGAGCTTTGTTGAGGTAAGAATTTTTATTTGAACATCTTTTTTTTATATCAGAGTTTAGGTGAGGTAAAATGTTTAATGTTAAGCTTCTGTCTTATTTATGATTTTGATCTTGTTCTCCATAATAAATGTTGTGTGTTTTGGAAACCTGTTTGGTTTTGAGAGAGAGAGAGAAGGCTCCCCATACCAACCTATACCTACATGCCTCATACGTACCTTCTATTCCCCATACCTTTCATGTCCTCCATGCCGGGATGCCCCTTCTCACGCCCTCCATGCCCCTCCTCACGCCCTCCATGCTCCTTCTCACGCCCTCCATGCCCCTTCTCACGCCCTCCATGCCCCTCCTCACGCCCTCCATGCCCCTCCTCACGCCCTCCATGCCCCTNCCGGCAGTGCAACAGACAGCTGCGCTGGTGCCCATTCCCCGACTGCAAGTTCGTGGTGAAGGCGCCCCACGCGGACGCCCGACGCGTGCAGTGCAAGTGTCAGCACGTGTTCTGCTTCAGCTGCGGGGCTAACTGGCATGGCCCAGTCAAGTGCAGCCTGCTCAAAGAGTGTGTCAAGAAGTGCGATGACGACAGCGAGACTTCCAACTGGATATCTGCTAACACCAAAGTCAGTTAGATTGGAATCCCTGAGTAAGATGTTAGTTGGTCAAGAAATGTGATGAAGTAAGTAAATTATAAGTGGGTCGAGATATGTGATGACGACAGCGAGACTTCCAACTGGATATCTGCTAACACCAAAGTGAGTTAGATTGGAATCCCTGAGTAAGATGTTAGTTGGTCAAGAAATGTGATGAAGTAAGTAAATTATGAGTGGGTCGAGATATGTGATGATGACAGCAAGTTTTTCATATGGATATCTGTCATCACCGAACTGAGTTTCTTTTAAAGTATGTTCAAAATATAATATATATATATATATATATATATATTATATTTTCCATGATTGATTCCCTTTCAACTCCTACCAATTCATCGACCCCTTGATTTCCGTCTTTGAACCCCTTTGGGAGTCAATATGTGCACCCTTGCATCCACAAAACAATTTTTCTGCCCATTTTACTGCAGCGAATATAAAGTGACCAAATACAAATAATTTGTATTGTGTACAGATGATTTATTTTGACAGGAGTGCCCTAAGTGTAGAGTGATCATAGAGAAGGACGGAGGATGCAACCACATGGTCTGCAAGAACGTCGCCTGCAAGTCCGAGTTTTGCTGGGTCTGCCTGGGACCCTGGGAGCCTCATGGCTCATTATGGTGAGTATGATGGATTTGTTGGACTAAAATTTATGATTTGGAACCTGCAAAGGTTGTCAATAATCTTCATGTACAGGGTGGCCCAGTGGTTACAGTTCAGAGTACCATGATCGGCGCAGAGAGGCGCGGGTTCGATCCCAGCTCTGTGCACCAGTTTCTGGTCAGAATCGGCGAGGAGGCCTGGCGGTTAAGCACAGAATTGGAGCAGTGAGTTGCGCGTTGGAGACCGCAGCAACATGCTGTGAATATTTTGCAATGTTAAGAATCGGCGGCAGTTCTACCGCCTAATGTTAAGCGCTGAAACCGTTGTTATTATTATTATTATGTCTGCAGCCAACATGAGGACGTGTACTCATAACATCATGGTGAGTAGGTATGTCTGCAGCCAGCCAGACGTGGTGAGAACCAAGCATTGTATATTGAAATAACATTGAGTTAACGTTATTTCAACGTTATTTGCCAGGTTGGAAGTCACAAGTCATCGACCATTTCAATAACGTCGAATTGACGTGTGAACGGTGAACATGGTTCACTAATATTCATTGCTCGATTGATACGTTCATTTATTCCCATGTGCATTTTTTTGGCTAAATTGTTCTGTTGCGTCTGGCGAAGCTGCGCTTGTAACATTAGAGTCAGACCTTACAGCCGTTGGAACGACGTAGTGCAAGGAGAGGTCTGAGCGGCTGTGAGTCAGGTAGTCAGTCGTGTCCCGCCAGCCGTACACTGAGGTTCTAACCTGAACTTACCTCGCTTCGTTGCTAAGTTAGCGATCTTGTGCTCCAACGCTAGTTTGTGTGGCTGTGCTCTAAATGCTCCATCAAGCAGTGTAATGTCTATCGTGCTGGTTCTGTTATTTTTTAAACGTATCCCTTTCAAGTGCTCTTTGCTGAAATAAAACTACGTTTTATCCGTGTAACCGAAGTTTTAATGGAAGACATCCTATTGCAGTGGTTCCCAAAGTGGGCGATATCGCCCCCCTAGGGGCGGTGGAAAGATTTTGGGGAGCGGTAAGGAAGAACAGGGCGGTAGAGGGGCGGTAAGGGAGGCGGCAGTCCGAAGTCAGAAGTTCGAACGTTTGTTTGGCGATTTGTACACAACACGTGCAGCGCATAGTTTTTTCACCCAGATATGTTTTTTAACCTCTCTTGGGTTTACGTCTCGGACAAATTAACGGCCGGACTCGCGGCCGGTCTCACGACCAATTTCCCTAATTCAATGATCAAGTAATATCTCTCAAACTAATGAACTTAACTCGATGAAACTTGATACACATATTCATTAGGACCTAACAGTAATGTTAAGCTTGTGAAAATTTTTTGAATTTTGCCTTCATTTGTTTTTGCTATTGTTATATGGCAATACGGGCCAAAATTCACAGTGATCAAGGAATTTCTTCCAAACTACTGGGGCCGGATTATCAAATCATCGCTAAGTACACGTAGCGACTTACGTGTGGCGTAAGTGCTGATATGAAGAAGTAACTCTAGCGGTGGTATTATCAAAACATTTGCGCGGGAAGCTACGTACAAGAAGCCGTACGTAGCTCTACGCCTGCTCGGAGGTGTCGTAAGTGGAGTTACGTAGACGTTTTGAGTGTGCCGAAGCAATATAAAACTATTGATTTACTTGCAACACGGTGAATTGTGATAGAATTTTGTCAATAATTCAACGTAGGCATAATATGTGATCGTGCTAAACGGTGCTTTTTGAGGAAAAATTTCAATTAAGTTATGCCAGCTAATTTCTTTTCCTTTTGTGCTATATATAATTTGCAAGCAAATCTTGATATTCGTATCTATAAGAGTTTTATGATCATTCTCTAAAATAATATCTTCATGACTTTTTGATTCAAAACTAAGTGGAGTTTGACAAGCCAACCATTTTTCTAGCTACGTACACAAATTCCTCTCTTTCTCCGCTGATGGTTGAACTCCAACTCACAAAATGTTCTAAAAAGTCCTCAAATTTTGAATGGGAAAAATGTAATTATTTGCCTCGATTGCAAAAAATTACAATTAAGGCGTTGTCATTGCTATTTAGACAACGTCTCACTCATTTCTCCAAATGCTCCCTAGTCAGTCAACGCAGATGACGCTGACACAATACAACCTCCTTTCATCAACGCGCACTGCGTACTGAGTCGACAGGAGCTAGGAGCCTAGGAATGGCAAATTCGAAGCCTCTGATTGGTCAGTTAGTTGGATGGTTTCGATAATACCTTTTCAGATGAGTCTTGCGTAAGACAGTTTTGTTAAAGCCAAATTTTGACTGACTTACGCAATACGTAACTTTTTGAACGTAAGTACGAAAAGTTACGTATACTTAGCGAAGTTTCGTTAATCTCTGCCCAGAACAGTTTCAAACGAAATTTTGAATTTACAGTCCTTACTACCGAACGGTAATGTTTAGCTCGTGAAATTTTTTTTCTGTTGTGCCTTCGTTTTTTTTCTTTTCCCCTTCATTCGCGATTTAAACAGCAATACGTGCTTAAATTTGCAGTAATCAAGAAATTTCTTCCAAACTACTGAACAGATTTGAACGAAAATTAGTATTTAAATACCTAACCTCAGCAACGGTGATGTTTAGCTCGTTATAATTTTTTCGATTTTGCCTTCCTTTGCGAGTTATACGGCTATACGTATACGGCTATAAGTAAACGGCTCATGGTTAAACCGGCCGGTAGAAAAGCCGATCGTTCCTCCTATATCTGTATAACTCGCGAGCGAAAGCAAAATAGAAAAAATGTCACGAGCTAAACATCACCATCAGCTAAACATTTTGAACATCAAATATGTTCAAAATCTGTTCAGTAGTAGTTGAAAAGAAATTTCTTGATCGCCGCAAATTTAAGCGACAAATTACTTGGCGATACGGGCCGAATATAAGGAAGTGTGAAATCAAGAATGACTGTGAAATGGAAAAAAACTCGCAAACGAAGGTAAAATCGGAAAAAAATTATAAGCCAAAAAATCACCGTTTGGTAGTAGGAATTTATATTCAAAATTTCGTTCAAATCTGTTCAATACTTTGGAAGAAATTCTTTGATCACTGCGAATTTCGGCCTGTTTCGCAATATACGCGTAACTAACGAATGAAGGTGAAATTAAAAAAAAAATTACGAGCTAAACATCACCGTTAGGTTCTGGTGAATACGTGTTCCAAGTTTCATAGAGCTGCGTTCATTAGTTTGGGAGATATTCGTGGTCACTGAATTTGGAGATGGGCAATTAGACCGGCCACGAGTCCGGCCGTAAATTCGCCCGAGACGTCCTAGGTTTCTAGTGTTGAAACAGTTAAAACAGCTGAAAAACATATTGGTTCACTAAATGGGGTTCTATTTGTGAAATGCACATTTGTGTTTAACCTTTCTCTTTTAAAATTGCAGCGTACCAAATTTCAAGGAAGAGGCCCTTACACAGGTAGAGGAGGCCCTTATAGTGAAGAGGACACTTCAGTGCAGTGACTATGGCTTCCCTCTCCAACCAATGGACTTACGCATCATGGTCAAAAGCTACCTTGATTCAGAAGGGCGCACCGTTCCCATGTTTTCTATGAATTTGCCAGGCCCAGGCTGGGCCCAGTCTTTCATTAAGCGGCATAGTGAGATCAGAAAGAGAGTATCCAATGATATTAAAAAGAGCAGAGCCTCTGTGGGGGAGGCACAGTTGAGGGATTACCATGAAAGGTTAACAATCGAGCTCCAGGGCATTCCTCCCACTCATATCTTCAATTACGATGAGACGAACATAGCAGACAATACCAGCGACTCAAAATTCTTATATCGCAGAGGTGTCAAGTATCCTGACCGGGTTATTGATATGAGCAAGAGCTGCGTCACGATGATGTTGTGTGGATCTGCTGATGGTACATTGCTGCCACCTTTCATAATATACAAAAGTGATAACCTCTACTCATCATGGATACAAGGAGGTCCAAAAGGAGATCCTTGCTGTCATTTTCGCTGCTGTAAGAACGGCACACAATTCTATAACACAGCCAGTGGCTGGATGGATGCTAATGCCTTTCATAAGTGGTTTGGTGAACTCCTCTTGCCTCACCTTCAAAACCTGGATGGGCCCAAGGCTGTTATTGGTGATAATCTGAGTGCTCACTTCTCAGAGACTGTACTCAAACTAGCAGAAGACAATGACATCAAGTTTATCTGCCTTCCCCCTAACTCTACAGATAAAACTTTGCCACTGGATGTGGCCTTTTTTGGACCTATGAAGAAGGCCTGGAAACATGTCCTGGAGGAGTTCAAAGTAGAAAACCCATCTGTAAGCTTAGTGAACAAGCAAGTCTTCCCAAAACAGGTGAACAAACTCTTCAAACACCCTTCATTCTATCCAAACATTGAAAAAAACCTGAAAAGTGGCTTCAGGGCTACTGGGATTTTCCCCTTGGACATAAATAACCTGCTTCGCAGACTGGGCAACACCCATACTGGTACAGATGCCACACCAATCTTATCACGGGCTACCAGTTCCACTACATCCTCTTCCCTTGTGATTGAAAAATCACCTGACGCAAGCAGTCTTTCAAATGCCTTTGTCAATTACCTTGAAGAGAAGAAGTTTCCAAAATGTTTTAGAGGAGGTCGTCGTGGAGGAAGAGGAGCAAAAATTCAAGCTGGCACTCGTATTGTGTCAACAATAAGCCAAGATGAAGCTGAAGTATCTGGCCAATCCACTTTTGACGTGCACCCTTCAACATCAAAGGATCTATCTGCATACGCAGTTCGACAGAATGTTAAGAGGAAACTGAATTTGCTTGCAAGGAGAGATAATGCTGAGTCAGAGAGCACAGACATGGATACTGACCCAGATTCAGAAGAAATATACGATGTCAGGCCTACACGCTCCAGAAGTGGCAGAGTATTGACACCAATGCTAACACCAGCAGGCACACCATCAAAGGTGCAGAAAGAAATACCCTCTCCTAGTTCTGGGACCCCTACAGCAGGTAATACATCTAACAAAGTAAAGCCCACCCCTACCAAGAAACTAAAAGCAACTGCTGCTATCAGTGCCACTGATGAAGGATCCTGCACCTCAACAATAACTAAGAGCAGTGCACTTAAAGTGGGTAGCTTTGTGATTACCAAAGTCTATGTCAGCAACAGCAGTGACAAACATTGAAAATATTTAGCCACTGTTGATCACTTTGATGAGACTGAGGTGTCTGTCACATTCCTCCATGCCAGTGAATCCAAGACTGTATTTACAGTGGCTAAAGATGACACCGCCTCAGTGGAGATGAAGGACATCTGTGAGATAATTGACGTGCCTTATAAGTTTAATAGTAGAGGGCAGTATGTGTTCAATGCTGCTCTTGATGTAAGTCTGTAGGCATTAGCTTAGGTCAGTGACTCGGTGTTTATTTACGAAAGGAACATTTTGTACGTTAATGGAAAGTTATTACATTTATGAAAGAAAGTTATTATGTTTATTTACGAAAGGAAATTAGTGCATTTATTTACAAAAGGAACAGTTAGCTTTTGTTTATTTCTTTGAAATGTGTTCAAAAAAATGGAATTTTTTTTGCTAGTTGTGTGTATTATACAGGGCTATTTCGTGAGGACACATTGGCTGGTAACTGCCCACCTCGATTGGGAACTAAAAGTAACCCATGTCGATATTGTTTATAGATGAAGTTTTGAATTTGGAAAAATAGTTTTGGTAGAACTAGTTTTAAGATTACTGGTGCCATAACTACGGACACTTGATCTGCATAAAATGAAGATAACATCACTGGAAACATTAACGGCAGGTGTTTGATGCTGATTCTAGTCGAATGATGTTATAATGTGTGGTGAAAGTAAAAAGGTTAAACGTATAGTTCTTCCCTCCATCGCATGTGTAGATCTTGTAAGATTTGTCTTGAAATAAAAAGATTCAATGGCAGACAATGCGTGGCTTCAAGTTACCTATAATGTTTGAGCCAGCTAATCTGAAATCTAATCTAAACTAAACATCGCTAGCAATGAACTAATCTTACAACAATAAAGGAAACAAATTTCTAATTACTCCTAGAAATAAATTGCTTGCAGTTTAGGCCCCTCACTATCTTCTGCCAATTGCAATGGAGCTTTTTCTTTAATTGCGTTGCATTTCTATGTGTTCCTGCACTAACAGGCGAGTGGTCATTAAAGAAATATAATTTCCTGACTTTTCTTGTCTCGCTGTTTCGGGTTTGAATTATTTTCGCGCAATATCAATGTGCCTGAATATTGTTCATAGCTAGCACGATATTACAAGAGCTGCTAAGCATCGTTACTCAACGTTACGATATAAATGAATCTCTATTGTAATATTGTCAATATTATTGCCTCAATTTCAGCAGAAATTTTTTTCGTCGTCAACAATCGAGACCGCTGAATTTACAAAATGAAAATGCAAAAGGTAAAATTCAGTTGTAGATCTTCTCGTATATGATTGTTCGTAAACAATAGTACAAGCTACTGCGATGCTGGCAATTTCCGGCATACACTAGTGATGGTGATTCTAGGGATTATTTGCAGCGAATAAAATCTAAAACACACAGTGAATTGCGCCGACGTCATGTCGATGCGTTGTGGTAAATGAAGCGAGTCCAGCCGTTAATTAGGAGATAACTAAGCCTAAGAGCGACTAGTTCAGTGGGTAAAGCCAGTAAATAAAGCTCTACAGTAACGCATATAAATTATAGAACGTAAGACAATCTGTGTCCGTTTCAGCAATTAAGTAATTTGTAGCAATGGCGTTTGATTTTTAAGGAAAGAAATCGGGCTTAAAAATAAAGTAGAGGCGTAGGAAGTCGCTTTTCAGCACCGCTACCGTCACTTGAAAAGAGACGGTAGCCTCAGACTGGCCCTCAACTTTGGACATGAGGGAAAGTTCATAGATATGCGTACTGAAATACCACAGTCTCATTTATTTTAATTAATTGTGTGCTCTAAAATTTCAATAAAATAAACGGTGGAAATGAGCCTCGGAATAATACATGTTTAGGCAAAAAAGTTGTCTTCGTCTGAGAAAAATGGCTTAGGATAAACTGCGGGAGTAGAACCAAGTAAGTGCTTTCAATTTAAATTGTTTTCGTAACCGAATATTTTCATGTGCATTCTTGTGTAAAACTCTTACTTTAGAGCAAAAATACTCGAGGCATTACAAACATTTACTTCAACTCTTACTTTTTTCAAATACTAAACTGACCGACGACTACGATTTTTGAAACACCATATTGAAACAGATTTTATTATTGATTATATTCCCATAAAACTGGGATATGTACGAATAATTTATAAACAAAATCAGAGTTTGATGATTAGCCGCGCGAGCGCGGCACTAGACAATAAACTAGCTTTGGTTTGAGCGACTTAACTATGCCTCATTTACGCTAATTATACTCTCAACTTTCCGACACAAATAATAATGAAGAAATGCAAAATTAATTATGAACATTTAACATACAATTACATCCTAGACACCGTACTACCTTAATATATAGACGATTACGATATACTTCTGATGACTTGTAAAGCATTTATACCGCAGAGACAATTGCTTGTTAGTCCACAGGAATCTACAACTTCTTTCACTGTTAAGAAAACGACCTGCAAAGAAATATTCCCTTGCGAGTCAATAAACTAGAATAGGGTACGGGTTGATCCATTCAAGCGCATTTGATACAAATTCTCATTAACTGCCCATGTTCCTAATTGATAGAAATTACACAGAAATTCGAGATCCGATATTTTTTCCATCTCACTGGAACTTTTCACGAAACATATTTCCACGAATACGTTGTTCTAATAAAACGTAAAAACTGATAGAAAACAATTGACGTATGGCAAGATTGAAGAAATTGTCTAATGCCTACTCCAAGACTGAGGAGTCACAATTTCAGTTAAATCTGTACAAAGTTGCATAATAGAATTGAAGGGTTTTACAGAAGATTTTCAAACCTTTACTAGTAAACTATTGTGAGAACTGTTCTGATCAAATACCGAAGACGCAATGTCAAGAGACGCAACACGCATAGCAGCAACAACGTCAGCAGCTTCACCACTCCTCAGCTCATTCATCCTCTGCCTCATCCCAGCCTCATTTTTAACTTCCTCGATTGGGGAAGAAGTATGAGCTTCATTACAACCTTGCTGCTCAGGGGCTTGGTTGGGGCTGGCCTGGGAGGTCCACTCCCCGGTAGTTGGGGAGGGGTTTGTCTTCCTCTTCATACGACGCCCGATGGTGATATGAACCTCCCCTTGCCTGATGCTCTTGAAGGCTGCGATTGCCTCCGCGTGCGATGCGCCCGCTAATGACTTGCCGTTCACCGTCAGCACTTCGTCTCCTGGAATGCAGGCAATCTCATCGTAAACTACGACCACACCCGTCCCCAGTAAAAATAATAAAAATACAATGATCATAATAATAATAATAATTGTAATAATAATAATAACAATAATACTGATAGGGCTTTCAGTTTTTTTAGGCCGTGTGACTGTCATCGATTTATAATTTTGCAGAACATTCACAGCTTGTTGTGGTCTCGAACATGCAACTCAGTGCTCTCTTTTTTTTTTCAAACTGCTTAACCGCCCGGCCTCCTTGCCGATTATGACCAGAAACAGGCGCACAGAGCTGGGATCGAACCCGCGCCTCTCTGCGCCAATCTTGGTATACTCTGAACTTTAACCACTGGGCCACCCTGCCCAGTTGGTAGGTTGGCCCAGACTGAACAACTAATCCATCCAATCCAGTTATCTTTTCTAAACGAAACCTAACAGATTATAGATCAAACATTTCCCCTCACTATTTGCACAGTGCTCAACATAATACGAAAACGATAGAGGACCACAGACGGTTCAAATGAGCGATTGGAAGCAAGTTTCTCAGCATATGACGACGTATGATTAATGTGAGAGCTTAATGTGAAAACAAAACTTTGAATAATTGTAACAAATTGAATTACCACAGGAAAACGGAATTTCTGTATATCAAATAAAATCATTCTACTCACCTTCTTGAAGCGACATTTTGGTTGCTGCTTGCCCCTGCGGGAACACGGTTTTAATGAAGATGCCCATAGAACCTTTAGGAGAGTCCCTTCCCCCGACGATGCTGAAGCCCAGCGACTTGTGCCCGGGGCCTTTCTCGAAGAACACCGAGCGAATCTGGAAGGTGACTTCGCGGTGCGCGCGCGGCAGAGTGCAGTAGCTCAGTTGCTCGCTCGAACACGACTGTAAATAAAACAATGCTATTACAATTCTATGCTATTTAAAGTATTAGGACGATAAAACCTAGAACAATCAATCATCTTTGCGCAATCAGATTCGATGCTTGTTGTGGACGGGGGCTTAATAGGAAACAATTCCACAATAAAACATGCGCCTTGGATCGGCGGCAACATAGCACATACTTCGTAAGCTTTGGACTTCAGCAATAAATTATTGCATTGAAATTCAAGAAATTCGATCATTTAGCGGTTTCATAAAATTTTCGTCAAAGTTTTTGAATTGATTTTGGTCAACAGAATGAAAGAAACTGGTATCCTGATCATGGACCCAATAAGTCGTGAGTAGGGGGAAACGTGCCTAACTAAATTAATCAATGCTATACCGGTGAATCGCTCATTCAAGAGAGCAGTACAGACGGACATCAAACCCATCGAGTGTGAGAATAACTTTCGCTCCTTCACCGCAAGTCTCCCTTTAACAGGCATGTCACGCACCGTTTGGAAGTTCAAAATATCGAGGCATCCTCATCGAAAACAACCGCATTTCCGCCTTGTCTGCCTAAATCGCACCCTCGCCTCACAAATGAGGACTTTTAAACTTTCTTTGGCCGTCCATTGTTCTTAAAAACCGCAAATTGAAAGGGCACGTCTCAGAATACCTCACCTAATCCTCCAGGAAAATAAATTTTAATGCATCAAAACGAAATAAGCCACGAAAAAATGTTATAAATAAATAAGCCACGAAAAAATGTTGCAGAAACTAAAACTTCGTTCCAGTTTTATGATTCTTAATAGTTCTTGAATAAGTTATTCAAGATTTCAACCAGAAGAGTACGTGTTACATGCATATCTCTGAACTCACTTGTTTGAAAATATCAGTATTCCTTTGACATAATAATTTCATAATGAGATCAAATATACTGTTCAGTATTTGAATGAATTTGACCCTTTGCCCCCACATGCTAGCCCAAATCGCTGTGAAAGCCGTAGTTTCTAACTCAGACACCGCAAACTAAAATGAACGCAAATTGCACATTAGGGACGCGCATGCCATTCTTTTTCCTGATGAAACCCAATTCAACTGCAATTCATTTCCATCCGGTTAAGATATACTATTTTTATCCCGAAAGATACTTCAAATACAATCATTTGTAATGCTGCGGATTGCCACGGGGATTGAGTATAGCAACAGAAATAGATCCTAAATGAATGCCAACCTCACGTTTACAATGGCAATAACGTCGCGAGAAAATGTTAGGCCGGATTTCAAACAATGGTTATTTCGCTAACCTATATTGATAACATTAAACAATAAGGACTGTTGTGAGAGGTTTTGTAACTGAGAATAACCCAGAATTTAGACGCCGGCTTTCCACAAAAACAACACTGGAGGTCAAAGAGGCACGTCAGGAGCAAAACGACGTTTCATCGCTGCGAGCAAGACTCGGCGAAGCCACAGTAGCGCTGAAGGCGCTCACAAGGAGCCATGCCCGGAGCAATCTATGAAGATTGAAGCCGAGAAAAGAAGTACAAAATCATTCTCGCTCAGGCACTGACCACATGCAATCTCGGCAAATCGTACACGCTTCGAGGATTCATTTGTGCGGCTGCGGTTACCTATAGCACGATTATTTCAATTTCAAGCCGTCGTTTTTCGTCAAAAAGATAAAATATTAAAGTCCGACGAATGACTGCACCAAGACTCGAGTAAAGTTTTTGATCTCAACCCACTGACAACTTGTGCAAATGAATACGCAAATGATCTATGTTTAGCTGGATATCATTGATGAAATTCAGTACCAACACGACTCCTGGAACTTGTAGCGGTGTGACTGCATGGTGGTCATCCATTCCTTCAAGATGCGCTTCTGTTTTTCCTCCTCCTTAACACGTGAGGACAACACTACAAGAACAACCAAGGTGCATGACACTGCCAACACAAGGCAGGGAGGGAGCAGCGGTGACGGCAATGAAGACAGATAATGAGGACCGTGACAGGCTGCAGGGGAGGCCCTGCGGCCCCCATTGCGGTGACCGCCTCAGGCCGCTAGTCCCAGCAGCAACAGCAGGTGGAAGTGTGCACGCAATGTCGTGGTTACAGTACAATTCTTGTTACGATGATTGGGGAAAATAGAGTTTGCTCGAAGTGAACCACAGTAAAACGGAGCAGATAAAACGAGATGATTTCTATTGTTGGCGAACCTACTTTATACGAGTACTTGTCTATCCAAACTTTAAAAACTGAGCTCAAAAGAGATGGCGATTAAAAACCGAGTTTGAAAATCTTTACTCTTATTCAACTGTCTACCGCCGAATGTCACTCTCCGGGAACATACCTATCAACTCAAATTATAAGTAAACTAGTGAGTGTAACAACCCGATTACGTTTGTACGCAAAATAGAACATTTTAAAGTTGTACGTAGGGCAACGTGAGGCAGCGCGCCCCCCACTTTTTTTAAACTAAATATTTGATGAAGTTTTAATTGATACGAGGTGGTTCTTTGTTTTGTTTAAAGGTGCAACTAATGAGGAATGTATGATGTGAATTAGACGCCTATAGAGTTATTCAATTTTTTATGAAACACTATTTTGTAAAAAGTGTCAAAATGGGCCCATTGCCCCACCCCTGGGGCAATGGGCCCATGGGCTTGGGGCAAGGCGCCCACCCTTGGTCCCTTTACCACAATTGCATATTTTTCGTTTAAAAATGACAAAACAACACTTTACAGTTAAAAATAAGAAAAATGTAATAAAAAAATGACATTCATTTATTAACAACTCAAAAATCATATCCATAAGGACCATAACTTGAAAAAAAAATATACTCTTGGCTTAAAAAATCTATCACTGACGTGAAGAAAAATATTTCATTGACATAACATTATATATCCTTGACTTGAAAAAGATATCGTTGCGATAAAAAATTCGTCCTTGACATGAAAAAATGTATCCTTGACTAGAAAAAATATATTTAGTTGATCAGAAAAAACTTCGTTCCAGTTTCGTCCATAATCCAGATATTATGTGCAGAGATTTTTTGTACCTAATCGTGATTTCAGCCAACACCATAAAATCTCTCATCAACTTTTGGCTCAATGGTGTTGACTGACATCAACTTTTGGCAAGGCAAGAGTCAATAACTCGAAAAGTGGTCATAAATACGCATAACTAGAAACTAAACCTGCTGCCTTGAGGCGGCAAATAAAAAAATCATGCAATATGAAGTGTAATTTGTAATTCACAAAGCTAGTCATAGTTTGAAAAGGTCATTGAGACAAATCTAATGATGTATAACACAAGACTTCACCATGGGCGCATTGCCCCGTGACACGCGTGGGCCCGTTGCCCCCACTAGGTATCATTTCAATTTATGTTGTGTCAACATTTTATTTTAAAAGCTAATAGTCTAAACTTGGTCTCAAAATTATCCCTATAAATATTACTTTGAAAAAATAATTCAAAGTAATTTCAAAATCTTCATCTATAGTAATGGAAAAAAACTTTATTTAGCGGCAAAAAATTTTTATCTGGACTAAAACAGTTATTCGCAAAGAACTTAATAACGCAAATATTTAGCAAAACGTAAATCCGTACACTTCATCCCTGTGAAACTGTCGACCGGCGGTAGAGAACACGGACCAATATCTGCCATACTTAGCGAGAAGCCCGCTATGGGCCCGTGACCCGCAGTGGGCTCGCTGCCCCATGTTACCCTACGTGGCGCGGCAGCCATCTGAGCAAGTCATTTTGCGCTCACTAGTAAAGTATCCTTTTCGGCTAGGCTTGTGTGACAATATTGCTCTGGTTACGCATGTCAGGCGGTAGAGGGTTAAGAATGGAAAAGATCGTCTTCTTAAATTATGCTCAGACATCATCAAGGCATTTTGGCATCGTCAAAAACCAAATCATTTATAATAAGGAAAATAAATGTACAAATTTCTTCAACCTTGAAAAATCTCGTCGAGGCATCGAGGCGCATACAAAGTTCCTTGAAGCATCAGCGAAGCGTTTAGATTTTAGAAGGACCAGCCAACGCATGATGGCGTGGAAGAAGAAGAAGAGCCGTCACAATTCACTTTACCCTCGATGACCTCGAGGCCAAAGAGGCACTGAACACTTTTCTGTCAGGTCACCCGCTGAAAAGCAACGCATCCGAGGCCGCATTCACACGCACATGGTGGGCGATAGACCAGCGGTCCAGCGAAATTACGAGGTAAGAAAAATCACCAAGTTCACTGTGCAAAATCTTTCAAGTTTTGAATCGATTTTCCTGTAGCAAGATTCTTAAAAAATCGTTTTAGGGTTCATTGTTCTCATAACCATAAATTGTGATTACTCAGATTGGTTAATTTCAAGAGGTAAAAAGAGTGTAATTTGTGTTTGATCAATAAATTTTTTTCATTTAAAATGAAAACACTGCGACTTATTTTGTTGGCCATACGGTGACTTGCTGCGTTAGCCATAATTAGGAATCAACATAGCTGCTGAGAATATAACGCAATTATTTAGGCAAATATGCAATAGAGATTTCAACAAGTTAAGGTTTCAGCGACTGACATGAAACACATTGGGAGTCAAATCCAGTAGATCAAAGAAAGCGAGTCAAATGCAACAACTGATGACTCGACTCAACATTAGAGACAATCTGTAAAAATATTACGTGCAATTTTTTCAACAAGCATCAACAAAAATAACTTTTTAAAGTTAAATTCAGGCCAGCACTTTGTATTTTTCAGCATTAGTTGCAACCATTTCAGTTCGAGTAATTGTATGCATGGTAGCATAAATCGCAGAAGTATTTCATATCAATCCCTGTGCGTGCATCGCGAACGAGGTCCATCGTGCATCACAAGCGACACAAGCAAGAATAAGTGCGTACGCTGTTAACATTTCCCAGCACGACTGGGAGGCTCACGGAGCAAGGAAGTGCAGACTTGCCATTTAAACGCTACGGAGACTGGACGCATTCCAAGGACGCGCGCTGGTCGTCAGGCAGCGGGGAATGCGAGGGCACGAGTGGCCGCCACGCAGCGGGGAATGTGAGGGCACGAGTGGCCGCCACGCAGCGGGGAATGTGAGGGCATGAGTGGCTGCACGAGTGGACGTCACGCAGCGGGGAATGTGAGGGGCATGAGTGGCTGCACGAGTGGCCGCCACGCAGCGGGGAATGTGAGGGAATGAGTGGCTGCACGAGTGGCCGCCACGCAGTGGGGAATGTGAGGGCATGAGTGGCTGCACGAGTGGTGAGGGCATGAGTTCAAACGTCAGAAGGCAGCCGCAGGTGAGAGGCATTGAAGATCACAGCCATCATTTTAGCAAGCGCATTTGCATTCCGCACACGAACAGCAAAGCTCAAATTTATAAATTATTTCCTTCCTATATACAGTGAGAATATTTGTCATAAAAATTATTCTGCGTTCGAAAGATTAAACTTGCAGCGAGACTTTCCGTCTCAGAATTTAGTGAAGCGTGCAGGTCGGCGGCCGCCATGTCACATTGACAACGACGCTCACGCGTTAACGGACGAAACGTGTGCGCATGCGTCGCTGTGCATGCGCTATCAAATGGCAGGTGGTACAAACCTCGAACTCACTGCGCAACGCGCGGAATTCGGCATATAAATCGATTTTTCGACAACCTATTGATGAAAGGTTCGAAACTTTTGTAAAATCGTACATTTCTATTAGTGACGATTCGAGAGCCCAACAGTTGAAATAATTCGTATAATGAACGAAACATTTTCAGTGTGATTTGTTCTTGTGATTTCAAATTTCGGTGCGTAGCTTAAACTCATTAATGGCTAAAATCACAAAAATACGATTTAATCAAAGTAAAATACTTTTGGTTAGCGTTAAATTTAATAATGCACTGCATTTTCCTCGTACGAAGCGCTAAACGTAGCAACCTCATAAAAACTTTTCGATTGCACAGTTCCTATCAATAAAAAAATCAGTGATAAGGATCCAATGTTTGTAAAAAAAAGCCTTTAGACACTCTCTAACTCCTCAACCAAGTATCACAAACAAATTCGAGTGTACACCGCAGTCTTACCAAAGCATTGCCGAGAACCGAGGCTAGTGGCCAGAGCTGATCATACACTCCTTCACTGTGGCAGCGATGCTCACAGTCGTTGCACGACGACAAGCTTCGGGGGCGCAGAGCTTCTTTGGGAAACGAGCCCATAGAACCGAATCTTTGCAACCGACTGCTGATAGGCTGCCCGTCCTCCGTAAAGATGCGCACCTCCACAGAGGGAATCTTGGCACTCGATGAGTTCAATATGCAATCTTTTGCGATCGATGTCGCGTTTAGACAACAATCAATGTGCAAATTTTCGTCATCCTTGATTTGACGAAGCGAATTCTTCTTAGATGGTTCATGATAAAGAGAAGATCTTCGTTGTGCGATCCGATAATCTCGTCTTGGTTTGCAGTGCGAGATTTGGACGGATGAACGCCATGCTTTAGTGGCAACGGATTTCCTCGGGGCCGGCGGAGGCAAGGCTGAAGTTAACGTCATATTCGCGTCAAAGGAAACTGGTCTACTCATTGGCCTTGCGCATATCGAGTCACTAGTCAATGTCAAATCACAATGTGGCACATCAGTTGTTGAGCTACAATGCGTGAGGGACCCCAAATAATCAAGTTCGGCACCAGAAAGTGCGTATGACCTCGAACTGTTAGAATCCGATTGGAAAGAATTCATTGACCGACACGAAGCATACAGGGAAGACGATCGAGCTCGGGATGTCTGAGATGCGCAAGAACTACAAGACTGGCGTCTCAGATCAGACTTGAGAGAATGTTGAGAGTTGACAAACATACGATTTGGGCACTGGGAAGGGAGCGAATAAGAGCTATAACAAGACTTCGCAACCTCCAATAAATTGTTAGAATTTGGTCGCGAAAGTTTCCCGTAACCGCTGGAATTGGAGGATGTTTCGGAGAGTGTTTGTTCTTCGTTTCTGTGTATCACTGGCACGCTGATATCTGATGGACTTTTGATGCTGGGATCTGATAACTTTATTCTATCGTTGCTGGAGTCTAATTCTGTTGAACTTTTGCCACTGAGCGTTTTAAATATTGCTCGTTTTATTCGAATGGACCGTTTAGAAAAGTTTCTCGCAACTTTCGGACTAGTGGTCTCATCCTTCACACTAGAAGTTCCAGTCTTCTTATGGCCGCGATTCATGAACTTAATCATTTTTACAAATGAAAGTGATTTCGATTTATTAATTTGAATGCAAGCAATAAACACTGCACAATTGTCAGCAAAACAGTCTGCAATATGTCCAACCTACGGAAGATCCAGGGACATACTGCCCAGGCCGACGTCCGGCGTTGAGTATATCTTTACAACGTTAGCAGCACAGGTTCGTCGGTTAACCGCCGGAAGCCGCAGAGTGATAGAACGTCCCGACGGCAGCATGTAGCATGTGCTACCATCGCATAAAACTCGGCACGCTGCAATCACTGTTAATCTTGACCAAATATATGAAAGGATGCATTGTACAACGTCAAACATGAACATTACTGAACCTCAAATTTCCCCGTACGATGTGCATCGAAAAGCAGAAATGATGTAGATTATACGGACGCAAGCAATAGAAATCGATGTATTGATCGTTAATGCCATGAGGCTTGAATCCGTCGTTGGCTCAGCTGCCTTTCACACTCAAACACAGGAGCTCAGGGGACAAATAATATCGCTATCAAATGATTGTTAAAAAAATTCAAAAGAAATGACAGGAAGTTTGTTGATAGCTTCTTAGGTTAAAACTTTGAATTTATGTTCTGTGAGCACTTAATCAATAAAATCTTAACACACCTTGAGTAACCTCCTATTTTCTTTGTATTGTGGAGATAACAAGGGGAAAATGGTTTGGTTATTTTCGTTAGATAATAGCATGGTAATAGCAGATTACCGACATAAGTCAAGGGCTCGGATCCTTTCACTTAACGGAGTCAGTGCTTACAACAATCCTGCGAGAACTACCGTACTGTACAGTATACAGCATCGAGAACAGTATACAGCATCGGAAGCTAGCAGAAAGTGGAGACACTTAACTGTATTATCACCAGAACCCAAAATTGAACAATAATGGATAATTATGTAAATATTACGCACGCGCAATTGAGATCGAAACTTTCAGGTAGGCAATTAAATATCGAGGGTCTTATATGAAGGATCTGATTTCGACGTAGCTCCCACTCGACGTTATCATATCACGACATTGAATATAATGCGCATAGCAAAAAAAATCAAGGATAAAGATTAATATTAACAACACTTTTTAGCGCAAAATATCAAAATTGATGTCATAAATCAATGCTATTGAACGTAACGAGTGCATTCTGACGTTCGAAATCGTGCATCGTGCTCATATAAATGAAAACACACGCCGTTGCGTTATATTTTTGACCTGAACTGTAACCTTACGAAAAAGTTACGGCCACACAAATTTTACCCCAAGCCTGTGTTTGCGATAGTGAAAAAACTGCGGTACTCGCTAAATTAGAGGCTTAGACTCATTCTATTTTGCCAACTTTACAAATAGTTGACCAGGACTTGTCGTCACTCAAACAGCCCGCAATTTCTGGCAAATAGGCCTCATGAATAACTGGTGCAATATAAAAAATTTGTTCACAGATTTTAATTTTTTTTATTACTAAATGCCGATGTCAGTGATGAAAGTATTTATTTCTTACTTTTGATTACTATTAATATCGGTGAATGGATAAACTGTAAAATTTAAGAGATCTCATCTATGGGGACAAGGCCTAATGCAAATCTGATGTTTTATTTTTAAAATACTGGAAGAACGCTCTGAAATCTAATTCTACGTGCTATATTTGTGAAAACTGACACAAAAAAAACATTTAAAGTTAATTTTTTTATCATAGATGCGTGAATAATTCATACGGTTGAAAATTAAGCCTCTATGACACTGACAAAATTACCTGATCAGGATCTTCACGGGTGCTAGAAATGGACCGGTTCAAGTCAGGCTTGATTGCAGTTGAGCCAGGAGACATCGCCGGCTCCAGTGCAGAAGATGTACTAGAAAGCGAAGGTGGTGAGTCGCGCAGAGATTTCCGGTGGGGAGAAACAGGCGTGACCCACGGTGGTGGGGATACCGTGTGGGCAGACACCCGTCGAGGTTGAGATGGACTCTGTGGTGGTCTGTGAGGTGGGGAAGGAGTAAGACAGGTACGGCAGTCAGTGCGGTTCGAGCGGGGCACTCGCCCTAAGGTCATCGTAATGGGCGTGTTAACGTGGTTCATTGGCACCTGCAACCGCGAGTCTACAGGCAAGTGACTATCAGTATTGCCATTGCTAAGAGGACAGTAGCCAGGAGGACGGCTCGAAGAGGGAGAATAATGCCTCCGAGAAGGAGAAACCGAATGATAATTATGAGAATTGTATGTAGAGTTTGGAACGAAATTTTGATTGGCTTGGTGTTGAATGTGGTTTGGAACCATAGGTGCATTAGGAAAGTTTGACGAAGAAAACGCATTGTGACTGGGGTATGGTGGGGATTTAGCAGGAGTAGAAGTTATCACAGATTTAGGAGGCGCAAAGGGTGGGAGGCCGCATTGTCCCTGAGACAATGTATAATTTCTATCATTTGTATAATTAACGACTACGACAGGCGCTTGTTTGCATTTTTGCCCATCAAGTGCGGCAGGTTTTGGATGTTGGTCACTTTCGTTGGGGGAGCTAGAATAAGACATTCTATGATGTCTTCTGCCAAGAACAGCACCAGTGTTAATGGTCAACACGTGATCCGCCACGATCAGAGGAGCTCTGTGACGGCCTGGAGCAGGACACAATGGATCGGTGGGCGACCTGTGCTCCACATTGCGGTCGTCGCTGCAAGCTTCACTAAAAGCTTCGTCTTGGCAAGACGACCCAGCGCTCGGAGTGAGGGCTTCGTCCGTATCACTCGCAGGGACTCCAGAATCGTCATCCCTGCTGCACCGACGCGCCCATTCTAAAACAGCTCGAGAATCCGTCCATTCCGGGGGACTTGCCCACTCTTCTTCTCCCTCGCACAACGAAACAGCGCGTTGTTTTCTGGCGTTATTCCTGCCAAATTTTCTTCTAAAATTCTGCAACGCGCCGCCTGAAGAACTGCCTTCGCTGCTTGTATTGGTTGTGCTGCTGCCTGCAGTGGACTCTTGAGCTGCCCGGCCTCCCGGGCCGTTGCCGACGACCTGAACACGTCGGCCACTTCGCGTCACGAGTTGCTGAGCCGCAGGAGTGACGGAGTGCCGGTTGCCCGCGCCCAGGCTGCGGCAACGAGACATCAGTGACGACCATTGACTCTCCACCCGCCGCTTCAAGCGCGGTGAGCCTGTTGGGAAAACGGAAAAGGTTTTAGTAGAGTCATTCCAGCCGGGACACGTGCACTTTATACTTCTCATTAAACATACAAAATAATAAGAATCAAACCGTCATTCAAGAAAGGTTTATACGACACAAACAGACTAAACACAAACTGACACAAATTTGTGAACTTTGTCTAGTCGAAAAGTCTCCGCCAGCGGGTGGATCCAAAAGATCAATGTAAATCCTGACTGGCCAGTCCCAAGCCCCATCCAGAAAAAATAATGTTGACTTTAGCAGCAGATTCTAAGCTGCTTTGAACAGAAATCGGAAAAAGCATGCTCTTGCATTGTCTTTCCCATCAATGTTTGCTTTAAATTTGGCAACTCTTGAAAATATTATCATTAGCATGAGCGCCCTTGTTTACAAATTACTGCGCCCCAGTATACATATCATTCATCTTGTCAGTGCTAATAACCCTTCGTTGTCTAGAAGGATATTTTCTCGTCGTATTCGTCACACTATTTCTACCGGACAAACGAAATTAGTATCGCAAAAAGCTCTAAACAAAATTAGCATAATAGACTGATGCTTTGAGCGCAATGTCGAGGGTGAACGTTTCCGGTGCGCCGCGATCCAACCTTTACGCCATACATCGCTTCGCTGCATCCAATAGCACCACCTCCCCTGTCAGGCCATGTTACTGCCCGTGTTTTCATCGATACGTTAAATTTTTCCAAACAACTGAACTCGACACTTTTGGTTTCGCATTTCAGAGTCAGCAATTTCAGTGTTTTTCGCATTTCAGTGTTGCTTGTACAAACTGTACAAGCAACATGCCAAAACGAAGAAGAAGAATTTTGGAAGCAGCGAGTCATGCTATTTCATTCGTCGTAGTTTATTATTTCTGAGACACGGTCATGAGAGGGTTGGTCAGAACGGCGTCAAGAGCGAGGGCCGCGAGAGCGAGAGGAATGGCATGTAAAAGGGCGGCAAATCACAGCAACTGAAGTGGCAGCTCCACTGAATCCAGGAATCGGAGCAAAATTCATCTCTAAAGGAAGCTTAAAATAAAGTCCAGTTTATTTATGTTGAATTTAGGGAAAGAATGGGCACTTATAATTATAATAGTGCATAATGAAAAATCAATCGTTTTGTACCTTGATTAACCAGCTATTGTAATCTGGTTAAATGGAATAAAAATTTATACAAATGAAAATAAACATTGAGGCTTGAAAAGGAGTCATCATTGTGAAGAATGAAGCATCGTGAACGAATCGTTTTAAAACTGTATAACAGAATAGCAACGCTGTTATTCAGGTTTACGACGGTCCAAGTATCTCCTTAAACAAAAAGTGTTTTTCAAGCGTTTTACCGTGATTTTCCAAACCCTCCGCTAAATTATTAGGATTGGTTTGTGCAAAACTTAACCATAGTTCCAAGGTTCTGATAAAGTTTAGACAACAATCCTCCATTAGTCCACACGACTCGCAGCGAAACAAGTACGCGACATGGTACGTCAGATTTAACGACATGCGTTACGTTATCTAAATCTAACACGATACGTTAGATTTAACGACAACGACACGATACGTTAGTGCGAGTTCGATATTGTTTAATGGCCATCATTCAAACAATGATAAATATCAGGCGAAATCAAATGAAAGCCTTTAATGGCATAGCCATTGATAACAATACAAGGTTGTAACTTGTGAGGCGACGATAGTTCGTTGGGATTCATTAAAAATTACTCCGGTATCAAGGTTTACTCGTATATTGAACGCAACGAGTACATAGAACGACCTCGTATAAACTCGAACTCCTAGTTGGGTCTAAAATTTCAAAGCCGCACCAGGCATTCCTCGTGCAAACAAGCTCGTTGCGCCGTCTCGGTTAGTAACAATCGATTTAAAGATTTAATAACAAGATTTAAAGTTCAAGGAGCTAAAGTTCAAAGTTACGGTACAAGGCAAGCAGAAGAGGAAAGCTACATCGCATCAAAGCATCATTGCATCATGGGTTATTGTTTCAATAAAGAAAGGAATATTAACGCATTTATTGCGTTTTAACAAACGTGACAGTATATTGAGTTGCTGCTTTAGTATAGACTTGTTTATCACGAAATTCATCCTTCGATGACTATCATATGACAGAAGGCAAACCATATGACAGAGAATCGAGATAAGAGCCTATATCTGCTTTAGTATGGTCATATATCAGAAGGGCTAAATTCTCTGCTATCAGTAGGCAGAGCCAGGTCATATTTGCATGGATCCTATTTCGACAGTTCACTTAAAGGCCGAAGAAAAATAAATTAAAAATACGTATGGTTCTAAAGTGAAACTTCTATTTTTCTCTCTGACGCAGGCCGACCAAGTCGATTATTCAAACGAGTAAAAAACTAAAAATGAAATTAACATTGCATGCTTCAGGAGTACATATAATCAAGAATTGTACATTACCAGGTAAATTATTTTTCGATAACCACATACATACCCAGCATAATATTTATTGATGTCGAAATTGAACTCGTTCTAGACGAAACTTCGCACAAATCCACTGCGTACTATTGCTGTAATAAATCCCACAATTTATTAATGTTAATTATTGTTAACAGTTATTATACTGGAAGCAAGTGCGTTTCCTAGTGAATTCAACAACCAGAATACAGTTAACTTCGAACGCACGGGGCAAATATAGAAAGGAAGCAAAGATAAAGATGAACTAGTATAAAGTGAGGGAGCGACGCTATCTACATGGCACTCATATGAAGTGATAAGAACTGGTGTCAACAGGAAGAGAAGTTGAATGACAGAAATTTTCTCACTCACACAGGCCGCAGTTCTGCAGGTCTGCACAGCGTTTCCACCCACGCACACACAGCGCTATAGCCTTGCATGGCCTCCTGGGCCTATACTTTCAAAAAAAGTTAAGAGATCGTAAGTTCATCAGCCAATCATTGACGGCCTTTCAAGCAAAATCCACCAATCATAGACAAGAAAATAGAGCGTAAGTACTTACGTTCACTTAGCGAGTTTTGAAAGTATGGCCTCCTGGACGACAGCAACCAAGGCCACATGCCGCTGACAATGAACCTTTTAAGCCAAGGACTAGCAGCTAAATGAGGCATCCTTCAAGATTCATGATGCCGAATTATACGTGCGATGAGCAGGCCATATTTAGGCAAGGCCTCAAAATGCATAAAGAAATTGATATATAAAACTGAGTGGACATGCAAAAGTGTGCATCGATTTTCCAATGTGATGTCGCTGTTATCGTTCAAATGTTTAATATTGTGGGAGCTTTACAGGGAGCGTAGTTCATAACGTACAACCTGAGTCAAATAGTTACATGCGTCGACGCGAAGTGCAAGTGACGCTTCAGTTACTCGAGCTCACCTACTCCAAACCTAACTTCAGAATCATAACATGATACCGCGAACAAGTTAATTAAGTAAAATAAAATTAAAATAAAGTGATCAGATGTTAAAAATATGTTAGGCATGTGAATAAGAAATTGATATATTGACCGGTATTAATGGAAGTAAAGGCCACTTCTCATTTAAGGATATATGAAACATGCACAGAGCTACCTGACCAGCACCAATTTTTGCAGCTAGGCACCAGCGCAGCGCGACAGTTGCAGGACAAGGAGGGGCGCGTCCGTCACAGGTGGGCAATGACGAGGTAACCGAGCCCTTATCGGAGCGAGCCTATCACGGCGATGCGACATCTCTGAGACCCTCATTAAGATTCCCATGGCCGAAAGAGGAATCATGAAGACTTGTAGCATTTTTGCAGCCATAAGTAGTGCTATTCAATCACCTGGCAGCTGCAAATTTTCAACGCAATGTGCAGCGGCCGCACCAAATATTAGACTCGATTTGGTGCATGCCTCAGGCGAGGATGTGAGGCAGCGTCCTACGCATCGCAGCCGCCGAGCTGGGGCGCAGTTACCCACCAAATTCACGAAAATTTACATTATGACAGCCAGCACTTCTGCGACTCAGTGCAGACCAAACGCAACGACACTTTCCCAAAAAACAAATGATGCTAAAAGCAACCGGGAGAAGTAAGCTCGAATACGAAACCAATTTGACATGACGACTTGCGACCGTAAATGAACGGTGATTTCACAATATACTTTCAATTAGAATCAAATTAATAATCATTAAAATCATAATTGATATAAGTTCCTTTAAATTTAACTGTTAATTTTATCAAGGATTGATAGATTAGGATCTCGTCACGTCGTTATGGAGTAAAAGTAAGCCTTCCTAACGCGACCGTTGGTTACAGACAAACGATGTGCCCCTGAAGCAGCCATCTGGCAGACGCAAATCTGAGTCCCACACGCTCGTCCACATTATTGAAACATTGGACAGCCAACCAGGGCTGCCGCACGGCTGGCGAGCGCCACAAAAAGCCCCCACATGTCAGCCTGCGTCAGGGCGCGCTAATGTCCGCGCTCTCCACCAGTCGTCTCATCTGGCGCGTGAGGGCTCAGTGCGCAAATGGGGGTTCATTAGAGAAATATTACAATTAGCGCCGTTGGCGCAAATTATTATTTTTACTGCGTTTTTTGAAAATTGAAATTGAATTCCTTTACGGTAAGGAGTTCGGTATATATACTCAGAATTATTTACTAGAATTTTATACTGTTTATAACTTTCGTGCTCATTGTTTGGCAGCTTTTACAATGATTCAAACATGAAAGAAAATTTAAAATCGATCGATTTATAGTCCTTGAAAAATTTTTCATATATATCTTAATGAAAATGTCTGTCTGTGTCTTTATCAAATTAATAAGAACTTTTTTTCCTGCGTCAAAGTTTTATGAAAAAAATAATAATTAAGAAAAATGCAGTGAAAGAAAAGAAAACCACCACACACGACCAGCAATCCAAACCTAGAACGTGATCGGTGCACTGGCCAGAAAACGGGCCAGCCTGAAATTTGGGGAAACCGAATTTAGTACTTCGCTAAGGCTGCAGTTTAAATTAAAAAAAAATTTGAGATATGATGGAGG